AAGTAATCAAAAAAATCTTAAAATTTACCAGAAAGGCGTTTTTGAGGGGTACTAAAAAATATAAAAAAATTAATAGAAATTAAAAATCAAAATATTTCAAACCGTCCGATTTGGAACGCCCGATATATTAATCGTATTTTTAAAATCTAGTACACCAATTTCTGTTTAGAAGTGTCACCATCATCAATAATTATGCAATATTCAACATTAAAGTGGTAGATTCTATTTTCAATTCACTGTCAAATAAATCATTGTAGAGTCTGCTATTAGTATATTTTCAGTGTATTCTAAACATAAAACAAAATTGTATATACCTTATTTAGTTAAGTAATTAACATCGTTCTGTGAATATATTTATTTTCAAATAAGGTCGGGATATTTCCTGAAAAACATTGCGCATTGCGTAATAAATGATAGAGAATTATTTACAAGGTTGCCAACAAATTTTACACTTTCCGGTTCAGTTGTTATTACTTTAAAAATTGAGGCATATCTTTATATCCTATCTTAGACAGACAGAAGAAAATAATAGATAATTTTGAATTAAAACGACTTAATTTGTAACGCGGATTTTTTTATTCATATTTCTCAAGGTTTCTACATTTCATGCTATTTTAATTAAGTTGATCGTTTGGGATATTTTTTCGGAAATTTGGCAATAATACACTGTATTTTCATTACTTGCACTGTACGGTTTGCGTTAATAATAATAAGAAGAAAGAGTAAGTACAACATTCAACAAAAAATTAATTCACTTATAACTAGTTATAGCTATAAGACAAAAATACACACAAAAATACAAAAAAAACACATTCACATGGAAAGTTTCAGTAGTTTAATTCATTTTTGATAAATGCTGCGTAAAACTTTTAGACGAGCACAGTTTTTTTCTAAAAACTTTGATGTTTAAGTATGTATTGAAAAAAGAGTATATAAAAATATAGAGCAATGTTATTACGGAAAATATTTAAAAGTCGAGTCAAATGCGTTAGAAAGATACAATCAATTATATTATTATTATTTTAGATTTCTGATGTCTTATAGAAAACTGCGGCACGAACAAACCGGATGTATATAATTAATTTGTAAACAGCGTGCGTGCGATTCTTCTGGTATACGTTTAAGGTCATGGCAACTTTTACCTTACGATGCAAAAGAGCAACCACGATAGTACGTGAAAAATATGTATTATTTACCCGCGAGGTACCAATTTGTCTGACACATGTTCATAGGTGCTACAATGACTGAAACCTTATAGAAAGTATACACTGGTAATAGATGACTAAAAAGCGTTAAATTGTGGATAATTGAGACGAATTGGACGATAATAGGACAGTATTATCCTGCCGAGAGATATTAATGTTGTTTATTATTATTATTTTATATGTATTTTATTTTTTATTTTTTTATAGAAAACTATTAATTAAGTACATGTTACATATGAATGTCTAACTTAAAATTGATCAATATTAATAAATCATTATCTTTTGTGACAATTCTTTTGAACTCAACATTACAAACACATATGATTTCTTAGATTTCAGCTAATTTTAATATAGTAAATCATATAAATACTTTGTTCCTATTATAAATACAGTCCATATTAATTTGTTAGAAATTTAAAACTACGTGCTTCAAATTAATTGATATAAGGAAGCATAAACACTTATTTTTACTCACCCTCTCTCTCTCTTTCTCAGCTTGATACATTTGGGAAACTATGTGCATATTTCCAAGTCCAAGTAGAAGCCGACTGTAAACAAAACATATAAGGCAATAATAAATTGTACGTATCATCGTCGATCTTGACTACATTTACCATAACGGGACATATAGATTATATAATTTATTTTTATTTCCTTTAAAGAAAGGGAAAACTCTCGAGCGGGTATTATTTTGTAATGGAATGGAATTGTATAGCAACGTGATCTGCTATGCCATACGTTTTTTATAGAGACCATTTAAAAATAATAGGTGCAATTAACAAAGTAGACCGGAATACTAATATTTACATATGGTGCTCCTTATATAACTTTGTGTCAGCTCGTAGTTTACTGTTTGTTTCTTACAATTGCATAAGAAAAGTTGCACCTTTAGGATCGCCGCGAACGTAAGGAAAAGTAAGGCGCGGCCCCATTTTATAGATTTGATTAGACACTTTAAAATTTTTTGTAAATTTCGTTTTTATGGGCATGCACTTATTACAAAAGAAAATATATCAAAATGTGTATTTTGATCACTTCATTCCATATACTTGGCCACCGCACTCACCCGATCTGACACTCATCCAGTCGGAGAAGCGGCAGGTGAAATAAAAGATCTGTATCGACTGAGGAAGATTCACGATCAAATTTTGAGCAGTTCTTTTTTTTTAAATAAATGAAAATACCGAACCAAATAAATAATAAATGCAGTGGAAAAAATTTGAATTTGCCGTGAAACTGTGCAAGACAAAAAATTCTGGAGGCTTCTCTTACTTACGTTTAAAGCTTTATCAAAAATCGTGAGTTATTTTTACCTGATAGAGGGGCATACTACCATTTTTTAATTAATTGAAGCTGTAAATCATATCGTCACTACTGGTTGCTTGCGGGGGACTTGATATTGCCGCATATTACCAAATTTCTTTTGAATAGCTTCTACAATTCGAAAAATACAATATGAAGTTTTTTTTTGGTACTTTGCTAACCTATATATTGAAAACAAAGCATTTATTCTGAAAAGTGATAGCGAGCTGCGGAAACAACTGAATTTTGACATTTCTAAATAACGGTTTGTCAAAATAATTTATATTTTGTACCTACCAGTTCCATCTGTAACTAATTATAACACGAATTCTTACAGTAACCAAGAAAAACTAAATATGATTTTAATTTATGGAGAGTGCAGAAAGAACGCTAAAACTTCCATCATTTGTACCATCATTTCCCGCAGACACAACTTCCATCAGATAAAATTTTCGGAAAAAAGTTAGCTAGGAATTTGACGGCAGATGGAAGTTTTCAAAAGAAGAGTTTTTAAACCCAGAAGGGCAAGAGATGAAGAACATTAGATAAAGATGTACTACCTAAAAGAAAAAGTTTACTCTTCGCCTTTAAATGATATTAACGACCTTAAAAACAGAAAGTCGGATAAACAGAGCTATTATGTGTTTAGAAGCAAATGGAGGTCATTTTGAACATTTTAAGTATTGTTTTAAATTGTTATATTATTATCGTATTAAAAATAAAATATGTTACTTTAAAAAAAAACTTGTTCCCATTTTTAAGAATAAAGCTAGGAAAAGTAGGGTTCATTTGTATGCTGTTTTTCTAGCAATATTTCTAATGAAACTATAGACTTCCTTACATAGCTAAACGCAGAAAAATAATATCTTTCAGAATTGATAAAAAAATGTATAGTGCGCCATTTGAACAAAAACAGTTGACTATAGCAATTTTGACATATGTTATCATGGAGACGATCTAATAATGTCATTTAATAGAGTCTGAGCGGAGATTTACAAATATATAGAGTTTGTCATAGCTATTTGTTAAAATAAAAGAGATACAGAGCCACGAATACCAATCTGAATCACCCGGTATACGAAAATACGGCTATTTGAGAAGTTACTTTTATGGTTTAGGAAAACCTGAATATGTAAGTCAAGGACTCTTTCTAAGTGACAACGAAAAAAAATAAACCAGATCATATTTGGTGTTTTTATTCTAATACATCTAAGCAAAGTTCAAATTCCTTGCAAAGACAATTTTATGCGCTTTTTATTGTTTCTTACTTTAACCATACCCTTCTAGGTCGCACCTTCTTTTGTTTCGCTACCTTCTCTAACTAATTTTAACGTAGTAATATAAATACATTACATGACTGTCAATCAAACAGCGACCCTGAAGAAATATATCCGATTATAGAAAATACATTCTGTCCTTTAAAAATAACAATATTTTCCTAGACAATGCATGATTTTTCTTAGAGTGACCATAGAACAAAAATACAAAATACTTTGAATGCTTGCATTATTTAAAAATTTTAGTATCTGATATGTGTTTTTGTATTAATTATGTTGTTTAATTTCATTTGATAATAATTTTGATATAAAGTTGTTTGAATTAACTTAAACAAAAATTATAAATAAAATAATAAAAATAAAAAAATAAAAAAAGTAAAAAATGTCCGATGTGTCTTCAAACCGCCAATAATTCATTACCTCGCATCCTGTGTTATTTACCATAGCATAGCCCATAAAAAGGAGCGGCATTTAATTTTATTCAACTTTAAGGTGTTATAAAAACACAAGACATTGACCCTGATATCGTTTAATACCCGGGTAACGCCCAGTTGTGCATGACATGGTTAAACTTTATTTTTAACTGTCTCCACACTTTGCTATTGAACTAGGTGTAACATTGCAATTAGATCTTATTTGTAGAGGTGTAGATTAAGAAACTTCTCTTCGTGGAACTTCTTGCACTGTCTAATTCGAAATTATATTGCCCAATTAAATTTGGCTCACGAGGCGTATGGAGAAAAATATCAACGTAATTCACAAGGCTGGCAGAGTGACGAAACTTACGGACACCAGTCCTTTTGTACCACTCACAATTTAAACTAATACCTGAAAAATCTTCCTCCATTCGGTTCTCTTATTCAATAATTATCGAGTTTAATGATGTTTGCGCTACAAATACCAAAATCAAATGGCATTTTAACTACCCCTTCAAATTTAGATTAATTCCATCGTAAGCTCGGCAAAATAACTTCCATACTTGAACGGAAAGTACCATTTCGCGTTCTAGACACAAAAATAACTATTACAGATTAATCGTAATGTAATTTTTTTATTACATGTACTTATATAAAAGAAGATTACATTCAAGGTCAAACATTTACTTATCTAAAATTTTGTATATTTGTTAAACTTGCCAATAACTAATGATTGATAATACATATTATGCCAACATTTTTTTTTCTGTTAATTATTATGTTTTTATCTTTTGCTCTAGAACCAAACGCAAAGGAAATACAGATGCGAAAGTCTCAAGACGTTTCCGACCTCAGTTATTTCCAGATGGAAACTCAACCCAAACACTTAAAGGGTATGTTCAAGAGCCCTGGCTTAAAATTCCTGGATTGCTATAACCAGTCAGCATATTAATTTTCTCATTATGTCACGTAAAACGTACTCTTCATTACTAAAGCACACGATTTCATTTTTAACACGCCACCTAATCTAAATTTTTAAGACCACAAACTGGTTAAAATTTGCACTCTTTTATTTCATATGCTACACCAAGGAAACTAATTTAAGAGAAAAAGGCAATACCAACTTGACAGTGGAACTGCTGTTGATGTATTTAAAATTTTTTAATCATACGTATATAAGAACAATTAACTAAAGAATTATTATTAATCGTAACTACAATTAATTTTATAATAATGTAATGAATCATAAGAATTCATTGGAAAGTAGGTGTTTCACGTCTTAATATAACCTTATAATAAATAGTTGTGTGGGTACCATATCATTTTATTGAAGCAGCATTCTTAAAAGTTATATCAATGTTTAAAAAAATTAACGAAAAGTTTGTTGTGATTACAAAATTTTTCATGGTTTGATTTTCATAATTGCAATTGCGTAAGTGATGCATGTGTATGGTACTTATCCAGTAAAGGTAGAGACATAAATTATCGTAAATATTTTCTTTATTTAGGAGTAGAATAAAAAAATTGTCACGTATTTTGTTTTGATTTTGATGTGACTGACTTGGCAGAAATTTTTGAACTAGGTAACGTATGGAATTAGAATATTTACGAGCCGTTTTGGGCTGTCGAACTACTTATTTTGCACAAATAATACGTTGGCAAGTGATAAAAAAAATTAAATAATGATATGTAGGTTACTTTTTTGTTTAGTTTATATTCTTAATCTGTTTGGTGTTCTTGCTCTAGTAAACTGTTTGCATCTCTTTCTTTTTGTAGGGAACATAAGAAGCGTAATTTAGAATCCTCATAGTGAAATAAGTAATCAGTAACATTTATGCGTATTATCAGCAAAAACAAGGTCATGATTATTATCGGAATTAAGCAAATTTTCGAAATCGGCATTGGTCTGGAATTGCCTGGGCACATCTATAATAAACGTAGAATTGTCGACATTATTTCATGGCACGTTTTTATTGATAAGTTTATGATGAGATTCATCAATAAGTACATTAACTAAAAATATGTGTTCAAAAATAAATACATACAAGAATAACATTAAACACATATGTATTTAGTTGAGAACTACTTAGCTACATATTCTCTGGACTTTTGACAATTAAACTGATTATGATTGTTCGTCAAAATCAAATTTCTTTAACAAGTCACATTACTCATAGAAATATGATCACATTTTTATATCAGTTATGTGACTGGCGCATTCGCCATTTTTTCAAATGCGTTTAATAATTCTGAATATATTAATGCTATAACACATTAACTAACTGGTTTTGAATATGCTTTATTTTACCACAAATACATGGAAAAAAGAGAGATGGTCTGATTGCCATATTAACCACCTATTAGTCAACAATTTGTTATACATTTATTATTTAGGTATATTATTTTATTAATTAATCCACAATCACCTTATAATCCGACTTTTATTCACACACATGAACCATCTAAAGTGATACTTTATCCACTAGCGGAATAAGGTAACTTTATTTCACTAGTAGAATAATGAAAAAATATGTAATAAATCTATAATAAATCAAATTTAATTAATTTATTTATTAACATTAACATTTACATTTGCAGTAATAAACATTTCGTTTTTTGTTTTATCATATTTAACTTCCTTCGTTTTCGGAACGCATAACATCTGCCGAAGTTTATGAAGAATTTGCACAGGTTATGGATGTCTCTCTTTGTGCGGAACAAATATATTTTCCTTAGATTTTTCTTGCAACATAATAAATATAAAACTGCTGATTCTTCTGGTGCAACGGTTTGTTTAATTCATTTTTTAGTTTTTCTCACTGGTGGCAAAATAACCAAAAAATAAGGAAAAAATGAAAACTATGCTACAAATAAGAAACATTAGATAATATAAATTTGTTTACGTGTGATTGACGTATTATTGACGTTTTACCTTTTTTTTCTGAAAAAAGAAAAACTGTACTTACTTGTATCTCTCTTATATGTGAACGAAGAGTTTCTTCTTCAATTGTATCAGTTACTATAACAATAACATTTCTCTTACAATATCCTTTAACAACATTTTAATACCAACAAAAAACGTAAATTTAAAAATTTATTGTTTGAAGCGAGTTTGAACCTTAATAATATATTATTCTAAGAACAATTAATTTGAAATGTCCCAGATTTCTGCCACATTTATAATTCTTTGTGAGAAATCGATACACGAACTTAAAAATAAACAATTACCGACTTGGTTATATAATTGAAACGCTATTTCTTCGCTACACAATACGATTTTAATGACGGTAATATAACTTTTATGAAACAACTAAAACACCACCCATATTATTTCATAAAACATAATTGCAATCATTATAATGTTCTCCACCAAATGAAGCAAGTACTTATTTTAATTAACAAAATATGTTTGTTTACACATACCATTTCATTTTCTTTTATTAAACAAGAAGCTTCCTTTTAATGCAAAATCAGAACACGTATTCAAAAGCTCTATAAAAGTTTTTTTTATCTCAAAACTTTACAACGCCGTAAAATTTTATTGCAAACACCAGCATTAAAATCTACGTGATTATTTTAAACGAGCATAATAAAAGAATAATTCCTGTCGGCAAAAGAGCCTGTTAACTGATTTTATCCATGCGTGTTGTTTAATAAAATCTTGAAGTGTCAATTTCATTAGCGCATTGCTAAATTAAAACGTCCGAGTGCCATGTTGTGTCATACGTGAACTTTATTGCTCGTAAAATTCTGCCAAATGTTCTCAACTGACGAATATGTGTGGTATTTGGTACATGTCAACAGTTAGCAGTAAATGAAAACATAATTAACAGGTACTGAATTCGAATAACAACGAAAGAAAGTGAATATTAAGTAATAAAAAATAATGACTCACTTCTTACTTCTTCCAACCAAAATGTAGGTAAAAAAATCGGTGGGTGTGAAAGCAAAAAAACCGTAAAATAAGACAAGACAAGAAACTTTACTTATTGGATTAACTATTACGATAGTCTGTTCGTAATAAGATTTGTTGTAAGGATACTATATTTTATATTTTATTTTACTTTTCTGATAATTGCAGTTTTAATATACGTTGACTATTTTTATTGTTTTCTTTTTGATACATATTTTATATTCTTTGTCTGTATCCTGTAAATGAGCACGCAGAATTTTTTCCGAAAAGTTACTACAAAAAAACAATAGCAATAGGTTATGAAAAATTAAATCATATTGTAATTGATTCAATAAGTAGGAGTTCATCTAGAAGGCTATTGCGTATATAAAAAACAATTATTCAAATCGTGCATTCTGAAAAAAAATTGAGACATTGCTTCCAATCTTGAAAAGCCCAAAATATTATTTGAATAACATTTAATGTAGGATTTACTGAAATTTTATAAATCTCATTGATTGCATTTTGAGTTATTAGACATACATTAGAGAATCCATTACAAAGAAACTCTGCCTAAATTTCAGTAACAGTGACTTATGTCTGTTACAAAATTACAGGAATAAATTTCGTGCGAAGATGCAAATAATATGTAAAAAGATAACTAATTAATTTTGATAATTCTAATATATCGCCTGACATTTCGATAAAAATCATTAGAGGACAACTGGATTAACTTAAATCAAAACAAGATGAACACATTTTAGTATTGAAATTCAATATTCTTTGTCGGTGTTGCTAATAGCGTTGATCTTTATTTAATGTTAATTTAAAAAAAAACGTCATAAATCAAATTCTCGTTCACGCCGCCGTGAAAAGCGTTGGGTTTTATTGGTGGACTCGGTCGAGCTGTGAATTAATTTATTTATAATTGAGAAATAATAAATTCGTAAATTAATTGTGTGGACCTTGACACAGCTGCAATAATGGCAACGTCATGAACGAATTATCATAATTCAGTAGATAGGCTTTGAAAATGTAATGTTTTCGAAATTAAGTCAAAAATTTTAAAAATAAACCACTATATTTTTGTCTTTTGAGTTATGTATAATGATTGTTTTTTACAGTGAATTTGAGTAGTAATGACCCATAGCAACTACAAAAATTAAAGGTATCATTCAAGGGCACTTTCATGTAGACATCTTTAAGTAAATCAAAGTAAATATCATCTACGGTCTAATAAATTATTGTTTTGAGAACGCAAAATTCGTTAATTAGAAGTTTAAACGCGGGAAAATGCGTTTCCTGGGTAGCTACCGCGAAAAAAACAAAGGGCAGTAATTATCTCGTATTTTCACATTATCAGCTTACATAAAGCGGTGCAGCCGCTGCCTTTAATTGAAACTAATATTACGTAATTCAAATATTAATAATCCTATATTATTATTATGGTGTACACAGACATATAATAGAGAAAGTTTTTTGCATATACGCTTAAGTGAAATCGGCCAAAATAAACTATAATCAAAGGTAATTTTGTTGTGAAAAAATAAATACCTACTTGTACAACCATAGTATTGTCTGTTGGATTAAACGTTATATTTACCATTTAGGCAATTTATTGTTCTATTGTCGTCATTTACGAAATGTAAATTGAGCATTTATGATAATAAGTTTCCAACAGATAGTTGATTTTGACATAACAATTTCCTATAACTTTTATATTTTCTTCAGTTTTGCAACAACTACTATGAAACAACTCCACCATATCAAATTTGAGTTCTGTATTCCCACTTATTCTTAAGTACTGATTAAAAACTGAGTTTCCCATCCCATCTTTAAAGTAATAGCTAGTTGGTGTTAATACCATATTTAGAAAGTGACGTAAAAATGTATATGTGATATTAGTGTTATACACAAGACTTCCAAACTTCATCGTACGGTATGAAGTATGGAGTTGTTCTAACTTGCAGCCACAAATATAACACAAATGATTTAATAGCT